TCTTCAATGCTTTGAATTACTAACAATGCAACCTTCTTACGTTTCTTCGTTCGGTGCTTCTCACTTTTCCATTTGATTATTTCATTTTTACCTTCGTTTTTGTCTTTTTATTTTCTACCTTTTCCCTTCCGTTTCACTCTTTACTGCCCTTTTTTCTTTATTATTGTAACCTCTTCACTCCACAGTGACGAAGGCTATACTCATGCATCGGTGCTTTAATTGCAAAGATATTATATGCTAATACAATCAAAATGCAGTAAATGATTATTATTTTTTCTTTTGAAAATACTTTCAATTGTAACAATAAATCGAGCAGATTTTAAAAAAACAGGAAGATTGAAAGTGAATACATAGTAAAAACTGAACGTGGAGTAGTTTTGGATAATCATGTTAGTTTCCATTGGTATTCAGATAAGCGTCGAAAAACGATGTTAGTTCGTCGCATTTTTGTCAAGAAGTAAAAGTAAGAAAATATAGCTGACAGTCAAGTAAAACATCAGGCTGCAATTGGTCTAACTGTTTATTTAAGCCTAGAGAACGTTTCGACCATATTACTTTCTCTCTCTCATAACTTCCAGCTGGTATGATTATCGAATGCAAGATTTTCTATGAACAACAATCCTGATTCATCTTACCTCGATTGACACTTCTAGGCAATCGAATATATTCAACGATAAGAGGCACAATCATTCTCAGGATTATTTGTAAACCTCCGATCAGCCCGATAGTAGTGCTGATCACGACAAGCCATGCATTTTTGCCTATGTATGAATAAGTACATTTGGTTGGTTGACATCGATCATAGTACGCCTTGTGTGATGTTGTATTAATCCATTCTTCAACCATCAATTCCTTCACGATACTACCAAGCGTTGAATCTGGTGCAAATCGGCTAGGCAAAGTTCGATCGAGTGCAATTGTGTTCAATTCAAAATTGGGATTGATGATACGTTTCAATGTTTCAATGCATGTCTGGTTGTAGAAACAGATGAGATTCGATTGTAAAAGAGCTTCAACAATGAAACATCCAGTACGCATTCCCGGTACCGGGAATGAGTTATTTTCGTCGACACTAGTTGGTACTGTACATAAAGGAGTTTCACTACATGAACAATTGGATATTTGATTTCCATATATGATCTGTGCTGCAGCATAGAGATATCGGGTAATATTTTCACTGTTTGTTGAGGAGATAATCATAGGCAAGAAATTGGTCAAGAGGCCTGAAGAAAGTCCATTCGAATAAGTGGAATCACGAATCGATTCAAGTGATTGACTAAATCCTTGTGTCGTACTCGTAATAAAAAAACGAATCAACGCATCAACTTGATTCTCGAATATATCACGTGATATCACTGTTCCTGAAATGAATCGAGTAGCAAAGAAATCGATAAGACCATCATCAATTGTCTTGTTGGTCAAGGCACAGAGAGAGTCGAGTACTTCAAATAGAGAACTACCAATATATCGAAAATATAATGGTATCCCAATAAGATTCGATCCTCTATCAAATAAAATACGCCAAGATAATGTTCTGAAGATACTTTGACAGATTTGATGAAAAGAAACGGTTATATTCATAAATGTTTTGTACGCTATCGCATTAGTTGAACAAGGACAAACGAGCATCTGAAAATATGTATAATACAACTGAGAATATTCTTCATAGGTGGGTTTTTGGACACCGATGCTTCGAGTCACAGGTATCTGTGATGTGAAGATGGTAAGTATGCACAGTATCACGATGAATACAACGATGTAAACACGAGTAGTGATGCGTTGTGTATCGATCTCTCGCTGTTCACTCATCACAGACGATGGTGAACGGAATAAGTTCAATTGAATAATCGCATTTTTCATTTGACTTGCCCATAAACGCCAATGCTCCATTTTGAGCTAAATTCTTAATAAGAATGTTCAATTTTGAAAAAGAAAATCGGTAATTTCACAAGGAAAAAACATTTCAACTAAGAAGGCGCACTCGTCATACAGAAGCAACCATCTAGAAATTCATTCACTTAGGAGAAAAGCTGCGTTATAGCTGACAACAACCATCGCACATGATTTTCTTGATGTCAAGAACTGTTAATCAAATTGTAGAAATGAAAAAATGCTTGTAAAAATCTAGAGACACGGTTGCTTCTAAGCTCAACTCTTAAGGGAAAAATCAACGTATACATGCTTCGGAGTTTGATTGATTTGCTGCTACAATTGAGAAATTCGAAGAATGATTAGATTGTATTGATTGTCAAAGTAAAGAGAATTGGTTTTCTATTGACGTATTAGAAAATGTTCTAGAAAAGATCGAATAGATCCAGAATTGTGTTATAAATACGGTGAGGACCTAAAAAAAAATGGTTGTCAGCGCAACGAGAAGAGATCGAATTCAATGCCTTTTGACTATCTCTATTCGTTTCGAATATTTTCCAAATTCTTCGATCGTCCAGGTGCTCTTTCTTCTTCTTTAATTGTTTCTATGCTGTTGTCGATCATTTCTGTTTTCAGTTCGTTTTTTTTATTCATCATTTGTTTGGTTTTGATATCATCCTCACATTTATTCTTGTATCACCCAACATTCAAATATGCAGACACACGAATGACTATCATTTATCACAAACTCTGGTTTCCTGACACATATCCACAATTGCAGATAATCAAACTATTATGGCCAAGTGTTTGTAATCAATTAGAAATTTTAATTTAGGGATTTTTTTTCAATAAAATATATACTGTATATATTATAATTCAATATTATACTACTTCTCATACTACACTGTATTAACTAGAATAAAACTTTTCAGGTTATACGTCTTATAGGTAATTAACAGTATTCTGTTAACCAGATACAAAGATTTAATCATGAAATTATAAGTTAACTATTTGTCTTTTCTGAAGAGTTTACTGTGATTTCTTTCTTATTTACAGTACCCTTGATTTTAGTTTTCTTAAAAAATCATGAAAAAAGACTCATTATACAATGACCAAAAAAGTTACGACACAGAAAAAAAACAACACTATTTATATGAAAAGAGCAGTCCTGGAAAAGTAAAAAAAAAAAAGCAAAATTATTAATTTCATACAACAAAAAGCATCAAAAGAAGTAAAATAATTACGATAAAACACAGTAATGTAGGCAAATAATTAAATTGGTGTTTACTCAACAAAATATTTTTAAGAGTAGGTAAGACGGTAGAAACAGTAGATTGAAAAATGTAATACTCAGATAGTATAAAAGACAAGAAAAAAAATGATTAGTAGAGTACAGTATTCATATTCTGATCACTATATACAAAATTCATTCAACATTTATCAGCAGCAAAATTAATGTACATAAAGAAAGTCACAAAGATAGGCAGGATGTTTACTTTTTGTTTGATATTGCTGCATCTATCAAGTTTTTCTTGCTACACATTTTGATGATTCCAATAGCAGGTCTTTGCACTAAATGTTCTAGCATTACAACTATCCTATGAACTTTGTATTGAATTAATATTCCATACAAAAGTCTTTGGAACATTGTCAAACTCTGTTATACCATATTACCGACTTCTAAATTAATCTAATTTTTGTTGTTAGAAAGAGCAACATCTGAAGTATGAATTTTATACCAGGCATGTTTGTCCAGAACGAACCTGATGAGGATGAAAAGTCAAAAATCAAACACTTTCAAAAAATTTCTCGCAATTTCACCATCAAGCAACAGCATTTTTATCTTCTGTTACTTTCTTTTAAATGAGAAGAAAAACAAAAAAAAAAAATGTTTAATGTTGGTTTTTGTTCCATCGACCGAAGGGAAGGTCATCTGAAATACAATGAGTTTGTATGTTTTTATGCAGTGTCTGCATGTATTAGTGTAATTTATAAAGTTTGACCAAAGGTAATCGGGGTCGAGGAATCCAAATCTGTAGTCGGTTTCTCAAAATTTTGAGTTTTAGTGTTTGCATCAAGAAAAGGCTATTTAGCGAAAATGATGATTCTCCCTCGAATGAAAAGAGGATCATACGGAAAAAATTAAATAAGTTTGTATGTATGTATGTGTGTTTATTTGCAGTCAGGTATACATTCATGTGCCTCCATATATCTCTGAAACATTGGATAAACTATGTAAGATGACTATCCTTTGAACCGTACTGTCAGTCAATCAGATTTGTTTTCTATTTCTCCCCCGTTCAAGCACAGGATATTTGATTGCACTGATTTCAGTCAAACAGAAATTTTCGTTCTTAGAATGTCCTGCAGATAGGCTTTCAACTTGTGGATTCTCCGCTCATCAGATGTTGAAGATATCAAGTTGTCGAAAAATCCTTGTTTTGTGATCAAAACTTCAATCTATAAGCTGTTTTGCATATGTGAAATTTGTCTCATTAGTTTTTTAGGCTAGATTTTTAGCCAATCACATATTTTTTAAATTATAACTTTGGTCCAATGAGAGTTTTCATGTTTTGAAGTGAGCCACAGAGGTAAGTTCATTTTGCATGCCTCATCGGTCTTTGTTTCATTTTTGTTGGGATTGAGCAATCATTTGCTTATCCACATTGGCATTTCATTAGCGTCGGCATAGAATATTATATCTATAGATAGTTTCAGAATAGCTCTAGTGTTTTCAGTTTTCAATCGAGAATTCTGTCACTGATAATCTACTAGTTGTGTGGACAGAGTGTAATTAAAAGAGGATAATTTTTTCCGAAGATAGACTTAAGCACAGAAGCAGCTAGTCGCTGACCTGAAAAGTTCACTGTAGATGTGCTTTAGAAAAGATCTGTATAAGATCCAGTACGTTTTTCGAGTATACCCGGTTAAGATTCGATTAAAGACGAATAGCAATATAATGCAGACTTTCTAGAAAGACTGTGAAATTCTAGACATAAGAAATACTTCACAACAAGACATTCTGTTTGAAATTTTCCCTCGAAAATTCTTCTATTATAAATTCAACAATTCATTCAAATAAACCAAATCTAAATCGGCTAGACTGCAGAACAATTGGATGATCTTTTAGGATGTGGGTGTGGCTGTATTCGAAACATATATCAGCATCCACAACCACACCCGAACATCTTGGAGTTACTCATTCATATTCAACAGTATATCATCCACAAACAAATGAACAAATTGAACGATTTAACGCTACGATAGATGAAAAAATTGCAGCTTTACGCAATGGACGACGTACAAATTGGGCCGAAATATTACAATTTTTTATATTTGATTATAATACATCAGTACACGCAACCACAAAACAAACACCATTTGAAATAATGCATGGACGACAAGCTACTTGTCTATTTGATTAATAAAATAAAATAATTTCGTTCATACAAGATGTAGAGCATAGTCAAAAAATCAAAATTTATCTTGAAAAATTAGTAAATGAAGCCTGAAACAATATAACAAAAAAATTAACAACAATATACAGCTCGATATGATTTACATAGACAAGATCTATTATTAAAAATCAATGATTCAGTTATGATAAAAACAAGAAACATCCGAAACAAATTTGATATAAGATATAAAGATCCATTTAAAATTATTAAACAATTAGGAAGTAAAACATTCATTGTTCAACATGTTAAAAAATTAACGTTAACAATACAAGTCACAATGGATACCATCATTCCATTGGTGAAACGATGAAATTTAATCCACTAAACACATCTCGTAAGGAAAAGATATAGTATTACACGATATAATTAATAAAGTGAAGGTGATAGTCGTTAAAACTAAGTGAGAATGATTGAGTTTAATTCAGCAGTCCATGTTGGGGAAACAGAATTTCACCTTCTCACTGACAAGGAGGGGTTATCGAATTCGAACATCAATTTAATTTATTTTGTTTCGTGCTATTTTATTCATCTCATAAATACTCAATATGCAACGACATATTATCCAATCATAGTGTAGAATAATTGAGGCACTTTTATAGTTGTGACCAGACTGTTTAGTGCGGAAAGTGATGCATATGGTACAGGTTAACAATTTTACTGTGGTCAAAGCAAAAACATGATATATACATATCTATCACATCAAAGAAAAAATTTTTATATATGCATACTAATCGAGTCGTATCGTCAACATCAACTATTTTAGGAATAACATTATTATCATTACAACAGCTAATATTCTATCAAATATCTGAAACATATTAACAAATATAGTATTATCATTTGATCGTTTATGATTAAACTAATTTCCAGTTCTTCTTGTATTTGATACATCGATGATTCATAATGTTCAATATATAAAAATTATTCAATATTGATTTGAAACATGAACAATATAAATCGATGTTACTACAATTGGACCATCGTCGAAAAAATACTTTATTCAATATTATTGAAGTTTCATTTGGAAATATGATCATTATCATTATTATTATCGTTATTACTAATTTATTATTACTATCAAATCATTACCGAACTTTATCTCTGCATTCAACAACTGATAGATTTTAATCGAAGAAACAGAAAACAACTTCAACAACTGCTGATTTATGTTTAAACAATTAGTAATTATTTCTTATTTGATCTTACTGGCATTATTCTTATACTCATTAACAGAAAAAATGGAAATCAACAAAAACTTGTTGAAGATTCGTCATCAATACAACTTCATTAATTTACATTTAACATCAAATTTATAAT